GTCATTGAAATTCTCATAAAGAGGTGTTTTGGCCATCGGCACTTTTTGTAACTGTGTTTCGTATGCTTGAGATGGGCAATAGCCCCTATTTTCTGAAAAAGGAACTGGAGCTTTTATTTCAATAATTTGATCCAGTTTTTGTCTTAAAATTTCCACTCCATTACGCGGAAAATCTTTGCTGTAAGGTTCAAAAACACTTAATGGTTGTGTGTGATTGTATTTTATTAATCTTCCCCAAACTGAAAATACCTGATCTTCGTGCCAACCAACTAAATACATAAGATCGGTCGTAATACTGGCAATATCTTCATCTGTGAATATATATTGGGACTTAATATCTTCTGGCATCTCCTCGACATTTGCCATATTTGCTCCTGAATTATCAAGTCTGCATTCTGACACAAGACGATCAAAATTTTGTTCACGGTAGGTTTGGTTCATTACCAAATGCGCTCCCGCACTCATCAAATCTTTAACTTCTTTTTTTGAATGCGCAAATTTTCGGAATAAGGCAAATAAATGTTCAACCGGAAGGGTTGTGAGATGTTGAAAATTTATATTCGGGAATTCCTCTAAAAATCCATAAAGAGTGAGAAGAGATGTCGCCATTTTCAGAAGATGCATTCTTCTGGCAAAAAGATAACCTTTGAATTTGAGACGATGATCTGGTGTCTCTATATTAGGAAGTCTATCAGTGACTCCGACCACATCTTGCAATCTGAGAAAGAAATGCAAGATGAAAAAAGCAAGTTTGAACATTGACAATCTTGCTTCAACTGGTAATATGGTATTTCGGACTCCCTCAAACCAAAGTGCAAGTGGAAGGAGCCAAGTTGCTTCAGTGTAGCAATTATTATCTAGCATATCCTTGACGGTTTGAACGTTAAAGATTGTTACAGGATATTTGTCATTGAGTGTGGTAGACTTATCACAGTTGTTAATTGCATCTCCAAGTTTGGAAAATAATCTAATTTTTGTAATATCGACGTGCAGCGTTGGATCATAAGGTTGCAAAAAGATTAACTTATTGGGGAAAATTAATAACGTTCTGAGGTTTTTGCCTATATGAACGACGTCCGCGATGAAGATAATCTTAAGATCTTGGAATTTTGCACTTTTAAGGACTTCTACTAATCCATCAAAGCCAGTAACTAGGCTGTACCAATGGTGAAAGAATATCTGATAAACAAAATCGTAAGATTTGTCACCATCAGTTGTAAAAACTGGAACATTCAGTGTTTTCTGAACTGTAGCAATGTAATCCAAGATTTCACTCATAATTCCAGATGCAAGACCATTTGTATGTTGTATTATATGCAAACATATTGATGGACCTTTGCAATCTAATGGCATCAAATATAATGCAAATAAGTCCTCGATTTGATCGTCATGGCCGGACTTCTTCCATAATTTGCCTGTGATTGCATCTATTCCAATGCAAAAATGGCATTGTTCACGTAATTCCTCATCTGTATATGGATATAATTCCCTGAATCTGAGGAATACTGGGAGTGAAGATGATTTTGAAAGCAAAAGTTCCTTCCATGCTGCAATATCTTTACCAAAGACTCGAAATAGAGTTGCTTTTGATGGCAACATAAGTTTCTGTCTTGCCAACAAATATTCTGAGGGTTGTTGCAATACAACATAAAGGCAAATTGAAGTGTCTCCGCATAGTATCGTCGGCTCTTTGAGTTTGGAAAATTTAAATTATATAACATGTTATTAATGATAACACACGTTAATTTATCTGCAAACGGAGGGTACTTAAATAATGGGGTATAATCATCTAATAATATTTCGCTTAAACTCAAGGATTCATCACCATTTGTTTCATCTTCATCTTGATCATCAGAATCATCTTCATTGTCATTGAGAGTTTCAAGATCTGCCTTTTCTGCTTCTTGTTCTAATTCGTCTGCAGTTCCATCTTGTATTTTTCTTTGTTCATTGATTTTTTTCATTTGCAGAGATCTTTGATAGCTTAGAGCACGGTTTTTGGAAGCTGCAATCATTGATTTAATAGTATTCTCTTGTAATAGTTTTGATTGATTGGGACTTGTTTGATAATCTGCGATATTATTATAAATAACACCAGGAAGTTTTTCTTTAATAAGCTTTTCAAGCTTCTTAAATGTGGCAATATCTACACATGATAAATTAATTTCTATCTTCTCACTGTTCATAATGATTTGTGGGAAAATGATTAAGTGGCCGAACACTTAAAGCATTTCTTTTTCGTTTTATATCAAAACAGATTTAGATAGCTTAAAACAATATAGTTTACTCATAAATACATCTTGATAATTCACTTTTCAATTTTCATAATCTTATATCCTGACCTATATTCTCTTATAAACCATATTCTATCTGTTTTTCCAAAATAGTAGATTGATAATAATAGTTTTGGTTTCCTGAGTATTGATCTCGTAAACGAAAAAGGGGATTTGACGGAGTCAAATCCCCGCTCACAAAAAGTGGACTTTACATGTCAAATTTTATATGCATGTAATGTCCACTTTTATGAGTTTTAGGAAGGAATTGGAAGCCATGAGTTACTGACATTGCATCAGTATCTCATAGCCTCCAATTCCTTCTAGAAAGTGTCCAAACTTTGGGTTAATTGCAAACTATTAACCCAAAGTTTGGACACTTTCAAGTGGAGATGGAAGGCTTTGGGGTATATATTAATACAATATTCCTCAAAGCCTTCCATCTCCACTACAAATGGGAGAAACTTTGTCCGAATAGTTTAACATTCGGACAAAGTTTCTCCCATCTTTCAATGTAATTGCTACCTGTGAGGTACTGACTTGAAGTCAGTGCTTCACAGGTAGCAATATCCAAAAATTTAAAAACATTTTATCAGTTCGTTAGAGAACTAGAGCCTCCTAGGTACTGAACCAGAATCAGTGCCTAGGGACTCTAGTGATCTATATAAATCTGAGAAACTTTGAGGAAATTGTTCGACATTTCCTCAAAGTTTCTCAGCAATTTAGCGAGGAATGTTCGTTATCGTGTAGATATTTATAATATATACATGATAACAAACATTCCCCGCTAAAAGATGTAAAATCTTATAAGAAATAATTGCAAAAGAATAACAAATTGCAACAAATTTTATATGAAACTGAACCTTATGAGGTAGTGATTCAAGATCACCGCCTCATAAGATTCAGTTTCAATCTCAAGTATCTCAAAAGTAAGGCTCTATTTTTTGCCATGTAAAGTGTCACTTTTCTGTCAAAGTGTTTTTATCGTTTTCGTTTACAACATACATGAAAGATGCAAAATCATTGACATTTTGTATGAAATAATTCTGAACGATCTCAATAAATTTGTCGTCGATAAAAGCTTCTAAGTCGCCCCTACGATCAATGTTTTCTAATATTAAATTTTTGAATTTATTGTCCTGAACTACTTGAAATTGTTCAAGTAGTTTTTCAATTTGTTTTCGCGTTTTAATATTATTGCACCAAGAACTGTCGCTTGGATATAACCGATATTTTGAATATTTCAAGATTGATTCAAATGAATCAATTGGGCATATGCCAAATAAGGTTTTGACATATACTGGCGGAATTTCATCAATAATTTCCAAAATTGTTGATATAACCTTTTTATCAACTCCTAACTCAGCTTCGTTATTCGGTCCATATTTGACAATGTGCTCTTGAATTGATGAGAACTCAAGTTTTTGATCGTTAAAGCAGCTAGCATATCTTTTAAGCCAAATATCTGGGTGAAATGTATTGAAAATATTAAAGTTATTTTGCAAAAAATTGTGAATGTTTGAGGAAGGATATTTTTTGTGATAAGCGAACAAAAGAATAATAGATTTATTATCGGTGATTTTTGGTATTTCACCTTCACTTGCAATTGAAACTTGATTCCAAAATTCTGTGTCATCTGTTTCTATTAAATTGTCGAGATAAAATAATTTGAATATGTCATCATCTGGACTTTTAATGCATTGCATATAAATAGATGGATCAAGTTTAATTTTAGGCATTCGTTGAAAAACTTGCAAAAAATCTGGAGCCGTTTCCAAAATTTTATACCAGTTTTTTGGAATATTAGATTCAGAAAGATCACATTTGAGTAATTCTTTAACAGGAACTTTGCAATCATAGAGTATTGAGATGTCACCTTTCATTCGAACGAAGTTCGAGAGAACGTTAAAATTTTCCCATAAAAATTTAACAAGCAAATTGAGTCAAAATTACGGTTATTGATTTTTATTATTTTCAAATGACAAAAATGGTATTTGAAGGATTCGAATATACGGTACATTTTCCAGGTGGACGAAGTTATACTCATGGTAAATATGTCAGCTCTGTCGATAGCCTTGCTATTTTCAAAGCTATTGCTAAACAAAACTCAGCTTTAGTTCATGAAATGGCTAACAATTTATTTTCACTAACCCCTGAAACAACAACTCTACAAACATTTTCTTCAGCTGTCTTTTGCAGTAGATTTTGGGATACATTTCTGCTTTTATCAGATATCTATGATTATCGCTTCGAAAGCACCTTCTATCCTTATCTTTTCATACTCTTATTCAAATATGCTCCAAAAAATCTTGCCAAAACTAATCCTAAATTATATTTTTTGATGAATCGATATTTATAAAAATTTAAAATTTTCAATTTTTTTCGAGCAAATACTTGGCTTTTTCATACAATACCATTTACATACTTTGCATTAGTACGATCCATACATGATTGATTTGCACTAAAGATGTAAAAATCTCATTGTGAGGTATGCAGAACTCCTATTAAAAAATAAAACTCGAAATATTCAAAATGGCAATTATCATAAGAAAGAGGAATGCTTCTTATATATGCAGTATCAAATGGATATTAAGAAATATCTCATTATTTTTTTAGACAATGAAGAAGTTTCATTTCATAATATATCACCAATAGTTACTCTCAATTCAAAACTTGAATTTAAATGTTCATTTATGAAACAAGTAAAATTCCAAGTTTGAGATTTGGATGAAAACTTTACTAGGGCTCCTAAAGAAGGACAAGGTTGAGCCCGATCTTCTCATTCAAATAAAGGAGCCAGCAATATCATCAACTCAAACTGATCGATTTTTGGCGATTTACGAAGGAAAAGTTTTAATTTATTCCTTGTTTCATAAAGTTGTTAAGACATTTTACATAAATACGCTCAACCAAGCAGATTTCAACAAGAAAGGTATATTTCTTACATTCGACACAACCAATTTTTCATTTCAGACAGAAAGTGAAGAAGATTTTAAATCAAAGTTCAGAAAAATAGCATCCACAATGTTAACTAATCTCGAGCTACATCATCCATCAATGGAACCCTTCAAAAAATTCCAATCAAACCCAAATTTGTCATCAATACAATATAGGATCAGAAACAGAGCAGAAATGCAGCAAATAGAAACTGTAGACGATACAATCGACAGAATTACGCGAATTTACACTTATCAAGAAACTAAAATTTCATTTCGCGAATTTAAGAATATACAAGACGCATTTCCACTTGTCCTTGATGTACTTCCTTTGTGCCCATTTATTACTTCATTAATTGTATTTTCTGTTGAAAATTTTGATCCATTCGCTTATTTAGCTGATTTTGCAGCCAAAAACGCTACCATTGACACATACAGAATAGAAGGATCGATAACACCTAAATTTGACAAATTTCTCAATTCTCTTCAGACGAATTCTCAAAAAATTTTAGGATTAACATTTGACGGCTCCCATTTTACATCTCCTGCCATTAGAAGCCTCACTAATTGCATTGCCACCAAGTCAATACCGTCAATATGCTTCAGAAACGCTATAAAACCCGATACAGTTAATATATTTTATAATTACTTCCTTCCCGGGCCAGTTGGCAACCAATTAAAGTTCCTTTGTATAGATTCGACCCCATCCGTTAAAGTATCAACACTTATTGCCAAGTTAAATGCTTTAACAGTGTTATCTATTACAAATTGCGGTTTAGACGTCCCAAAAATCCTTTCTGCACTTACAGGGACACATATTCGGACCTTAGATATAAGTGGGAATGCTTGTACATCGTCTCCTGCCGAATCTTGCTCTAAACTACCTTCATCTTTAGTTCATCTCGTTGCAAACGGGATAACTTTTGCGAATAACGCTTTTTTGGGACTTTTTGAATACATTTGTAAATATTTCCATGGTCCTTTGAAGCTTTCTTTGGCCAGAAGTGAAACTTCAACGAATGAGTGGCTTCATTTCTATCGGGAGATTAGTAATTTCCAGATAAAATCGTTAAGAGAGATTGTTTGGGATAGTAACCCTGTTCATATGAGGTTTTTCGAGTTCCTTTCGCGAAATCCAAAAATTCATACTTTATCTATGCAAGGATGTTTCCACGAATCTGATCCACAGCCTATAATGCACCTCTGCACGTACATTGTCAGTGCCTTAGCCCTCAAAAAGTTAATAATTTCCTCAAATGAAAACGCATTTCTCGGAAAATACACTGCATCTGTCATTATGGCTGTCCAACAGTCTCTATCCATCGAATACTTAGATATCAATGGGTCAAGATGTGGAAATTTTGGAGTTTCGCAGTTAAAATCATTATTAAAAATGCAAAACCTCAAAACTTTGCATTGCGATGGTTGCTGGCCATCATCAGCATCCAGTTACACCGAATTTATCGAAGCAGCGACCCAAATTATCACAAAAAGAAATCTTAAATTTTATTTTCCGCAATCAGACCTCAATGAGCTTCTAAAGATCCGTAAATTGAGACATGCCAAATTCGAGCAACTCAAAGATGCCCTCATGTCCGTAGGAAACGGTTTTTTGTATCACGGGGAAGTTCCCCTCGAATTTGCCGAAATTTCGAAAAATTTATCTTCAATAAAAGAAAGGAAAAACGATACTTTGAGTACAATTTCCGATGATAGGAAGTCACTGGATTCAGAAGAGATGACTGTTAAAACTGTTGATCCAACAGAAACAAAAAAGAAAATAATTAAAAGGAAAATTAAGAAATCGAATCTGTCTTCTGATGATAATTCAGCACATACATTTACTACAACTACGAACATTCCACAGACAATGGATGGAACCCGAAAGAAAAAGATAAAAAAGATAATTAAAAAAACAAAAGTTGTGAAAAAGCCAAAATCAGAAGAAGCTTCTATAGCTGAAAGTGAACTTGCTAAAAAGAGGAATACTCTTCCTCCCCCACCAATCAAAACATCAGGTTTTTGACTTAAAATAGTTTGTATTTTTTTTTGTTGATGATGTTGTTGTTGTAAATAAGCTAGTGGCTCATTCCAAGCTGCTAATCGATACAAGCAATCCAGCATTCGAAGTTTTTGAATAGATTATTGGTATAAATCATATACAATTCCTATATGAAAGACCAAAAAAGGCCCAAAAATTTCATGACCTGCACTCGGAGGATAAAAAATTTTAAAAAGTGGGGATTTAGTCTTCAAAATCTTATCATAATTTATACAAAATGTATATATTCGATATTCCATATTATTTTGGGTAAAAACCGATGGAATTGAAACCGTAATCCTCCTTGGACACCCTTAAGGGTCCACGGTACATTTTCAATACTATTCAAAAATTGAATGCTAAAATGAGAATTATCGTTATCGTCTTCACCTTGAATCGATTTTTTGGGAACTTCCTGGTTAACGAAATCCAAAAATCATATTAAAAATAGTATATAAATATGATATCAAATCAGAATATATAAATAGATATGGGCCTTGCCATATAAATTTTGAACATTAACGATAGCTTTCGCTTGGCCGGACCGTGAACCCTAAAAAATTGATTTTAATTTTATTGAGTTTTATGATTTATTGAGAAAGTTAAACATAAATTTCGATTGGTAGACCACATAATACAAAAAGGAATAAAACAAAACAAACTATATATTGGAAAAAACAAAATTAAACTTGTTCTTGTTTGTTTTCTAATAATGGAACAGAATCTTGTTTCTTTGGTGCCATTTTAGCTTTAGAATACATGAAAACTCCGCACAAAGCAATGACAATTCCGGTATATGCTTTGATCATTTGGAAAGTTGACCCCCATTTGGATGGGAAGAAGATGTAGCCAAAGACGAGAAGGAGTATTGTCTTGAAATGGCCGACAACTTGGTAAGTAATCGATGATGTAGTGCCAATCAAGTTAAATGTAGATAAATTGACACCAACGGCAAACACACATGTTAAAAACATGAGAATGACTTCTTTCATGGTAAAGTGATGATGTAAATAACCTTTTTCGCCAAATGCTTCAATTCCAACGGATGAAATGCATCCAAGGACAAATTGGATTGGAGCAATGGATAACTGAAGTTCATTACCGCTGATGCCGTACTCTTTCTGATATTCTTCGGTAAACATCTGGTTATAAACTGTACAAAGAATTGCTGCAAGAGCAAAGATTGTACCAACGAGGTTGACTTCAATATCCGAAATAGAGAAGAGAGCAACACCAATAATTAAGACTGTAAGCGAAATTAACTCGAAGGTTGAAAAAACTTGATGTTTAACGAGCATTTTATGCATAACCATGTAAGGAACGCAAACCAATTTTGACATCTGATAAAAACCTATGGAATTGGCCCCCAAATTGAAATTCATAAAAACAATGGAGCCAACAACAAGAAATGCAAGCAAAATTCGTTTCTGGAATGAAACGGCTTTGTCATTTTTGATTTTTCCTGTAGATGCAAGGATCTGAAGAAAGCCCCAAGTTGCCAAGAAATGAAATGTTGAAAGAAAAACAGTGTATTTGCATGTGAGTGTACGGCCTAAGTGCTTTAATAACAATATAAGAGATGTTGATGAGAATATACTAGTTACAATCCATAGACCAACTGTGATAATCGACATCGAATTTTTTTTTTCTTCAAATTCAAAAAAAAAATCACTTCCGAGTTGTTATGAAAAAAATAACCTTGAAGAATGATACAATAAATTAACACAGTTGACATTTGCAATGTAAAACTCTCAAATGTGTGATCCTTATGGCTTAGTGGAAAATCACCCTATCTTATTGAAAAATTTCGAGATAACCCTATCTCCAGAACTTCATTCGCGATATTATGTAATTTAACTCTGCAAAGCACTTTATTACTTGATATGGGAAGTTAATAGCTATTAGACTCGAATTTTGGTTTGATATTTGAACTAATTACTTCTAACCTTTAAAAGTTAATTTTATTTAGCGCTCATATTCACATAGATAAAACCATATTCTTTCTCAATATAATTTTCAAATTTTAATGGATTATCATCGATATATCGAGTTTATCTTGTAAATTACAAGATGAAATAAAGCAATATGTACTTCAATATCCAAAATTAAATACATGTAACCACCGTAAAACAATTTGAGAGAAAATGTAGAAAATTTTGCTGTAAATGGAAAACTTTGTCTTTAGATTCTAAATAAAAAATGATTTTCGTCGAAAAATTCTAGATTTTTATATGTAAATGCTAGATGTTTATTATGCCTTGTGGACATCAGAGCGATAGACACCTGTGAGAAGGCCCTTCTCTGTGGCGATACGGTTAAGAGCGTAGTCAGATTCACCGAGAGCGCGAACATATCCGGAGAAGACGACTGTCTCGAATTCGCCAGTTGGGAGTCCATCATCATTAACTTTGGCGATTTGGATTTGAACAGATGCATGATCGTGTGGTGGAATTAATCTATCTGTAGCCATGCACTTACGTGGGATAAGCATATCTACGATTTCACCAGCGTCGTTTTGCATATTTTCTAAAAAGGCTCGACCAAACCTATCAAAACCGTTTTTCATACCTTCAACGAAAATGAATGATCTTAAAATGAACATAGATTTATATATATATATTGAACATAGTTTTTTGGTAAGTGACCAGTTCTGGTGGAAAAATGCTGGGATACAAATTGAATTTGCAATTTGAACCAATTTGGACGCATATACTTAGACATACAATATACAGATATAACTGTGGCATACCAAGGTATATGCTTCCAAATTGGGTCAAAATGTACAAAAGATATGACTCTTCCAATGATAACTTGCCAAATTTTTGAATTATATCTTTTTTATACGAGTTTTGTGGACAATGTAGGAGTTCTTCATTTGTTTTAGATTTGATTTCATCCCTTCCAATAATTTATATTCCGGATACCTATCATAGTCCCTTCTTAATTGTATCTGATATTGATTTCAATTCTGGAAAAACAAGACTCTCTCTAATCAAACCTGAGAGATCAAATAGTTTGAATGACTGCTCTTCATATTGCAGTGTGAAAATATCTATGAGAAACATAGAAACTTCTTATCCAGTAATTCCTTTTGATGATTTTGTATAAGAAATCCATTGAATCATTCTCTGCAGCAATAGCCTGTATAAGAAATGATGCATCTTCAATATTCAAATACTTATTGAGCAAGTTATGAATGCGGAACTTTCTATCATTCTGGGAGACATGCAGTGGCAATGTCTCCCAGAATGAGACATTGCGACCGACAAGAGTGCATAACACACTCTTGTCGGTCAAAGTTTTGCAATCTTCTTGTAATTGCAAAATATTTTGTCATTCTGGGAGACATGCAGTGGCAAAACTTTGATTGAAGAATCTTAGTAAATTCATATCATCACATTGTTTAACATAAAACTTTATTTAACATTTCAGACAAAAAGTAAAAAGAAATGCTTGTTGATAATCATCAAAAAAATTCAAGATTTTATCCTCAAAATTCTAGACCCTGACTCACATCTTGAAATTTATGTTTGCTAAGGACTAAAATGAAAAATTTTGTGGTGTTCAACGTCCTCTCGATTTCAATCTATCATTAAACATGATTTACTTATCTATATTTGACATTAAACACATTGTATAAAACAATTGTAGAGATAAAATCATTTTTTGTTGATATTTAAGGGTGCCCCCGTATGTACGTTTATTTGAGAGGAGGAGAATTACCCTCTCAATTTTGAGGGATTCGTTAGTTTATTTTCTCGATGAATATGCAATAAAATTTGATTTTTACCTTATCAATATACTTCATATAATATACACATGTTCATGTAAAAACTTTTTTCCAAAATCCTCAGGAATTAAGGGATTTTTGAATTTTAAGAATTTTTTTCGAATTTTTTCGAAAAAAAAATATTTTCAGAACAGCCTTAACGGCTAAGATTTAGGAACAATGTTAAGTATCAAAAAGAAAGGAGGTCTGATATAGACAACATATATCTTTGAAGGTTGAAAAATCTCTAATATTTGAGCCCAAAATTTCAAATTTTAATTTTTTGAAAAAAGAGGCCACCCGTATGTACGTTTATTTGAGAGGAGGAGGATTATATTTTTGAAAGGGTGAAACATTATGAATATGTTAATTATATAATAATATGTATTATTATAAAAAAGAAAAAATAAAGCACTTTAATTTTTTTCTTTCTTGATTTTTTACAAAATCTACTTAGAATTATGCAAAATATGACTAAATAATTATAAATTTCAAGTTAAATTTTAATTTTGATAAATAATTTAAATTTCAAAATATCAAGTTCAGTTCGACTATGTATGTAGTAATTCCTCAATAAAGTGCCAAAACCCTATTAAAATATATGAACATTTTCAACATTTTAATGTTTTTATTTAAAAATTTGATGGAATATGAGCTTCAAACAATTATTATGTAAATAAAAATAATTAAATATATGTATTTATTCGTATCACAACCGTAGTAAGTCGATTCTTCCTTTCTTCTACTGAGATTTGAATTTGATTTCGAATTGTAAAGAGATTCAAAGGGAAAATACTAGCGGATAAAAACTACCTCCCTGAAAGGGTCAGAATGGAGTCAAGTTGTATTTTTTGATATTTTTTGCTTTTCGAGCCTAAATAGGTAGCCAAGATAATGCCTAAAAATAAGGTTCTAAATTCTGAAGTTTACATGATCCTCTCGTGTGCACCCTTAAATGAAATTCATTATCCCCAAATTACAGATCAATTGATTCGTTAATTCCTTTCACGTGTTAATGCCATTTAAAAAGAATTTTAATGGCTTTGCTTTCAGTTGAATGTTTTGGGACCCAAAGAAAAAAAAAAAAAAAAAAAAAGGTAGCGGGGCCTCCAGGCACTTCGTGCCCTCTAGCCCTGAAGATGTTTAGTATAACTTTGTCCGGACAAGTAAGGGTCTATCGTCGCTACAGGAAAAGTTACAGGCGTTCCAAGGAAGTATACTTTGAGAAGCCTTTTCTGTCACTTTTCAGGAAAAAACATTTTTATTATTATATATAAATGAATTTTACAAAACCACCGTTACCCTTCTTTGGAAATAAGAGTAGATGTAAAGATATTCTATTGAGAGAACTTAAGAAACTACCGAATGGTCTAACATTTGTAGATTTGTTCGGTGGAAGTTTCTATATATCCCATTTGTGCCATACAATATTCCCAGACTCAAAGATTATATGCAATGACTTCGACAACTATATGGACCGTCTCAAACATATACCAGACACAAACAATATATTGAAAGCGTTAAAAGAAAAGATACCTATAGGTAAGATGGAACGTATACCATTAGATAAGAAAAATATTGTGAGAGAGGTTTTGAAAAAAGCAGAATATATAGACTGGGATAGTATATCTGCTAGACTATTATATAGTGGTTCTATAAGAGTTCATGACATTGAAACACTTATGTCAAACGTTTTATATCTTAACTATACAAATGTTTTCAAAGAGGACATAGAAAAATATATTGAGGGTATAGAGTTTGTGAGATGTCATTGGACAGAGTTGTATGAAAAATATAAAGACAAGGAAAATGTTTTCTTTATAGTGGACCCGCCGTTCTATAACACATGGGATTTTCAATACCAAGTAGACTGGACTTTGAGAGACTCTTTAGAAACTTTAGACGTTTTACATAACTGTCCATGCTTTTACTTTACATCCGATAAAAGTGGTTTGGAAACCGTTATGAGATGGTTAGAGGACATACATGCCTATGAGTTTAGATATGACAAGATAGAATATGAGAGAGGTCCTATAAACCGGAGAAAGTGTCATAACAAAGAAATTTTACTAGTAAGTAAATGTGGTTTGAAATAGGACTACTTGTTTTAGGTTTTTTCCATTGTGTCATTTATTTATTTGACGTGGCAGAAAGGTACAGAGAATATGAAGATGAACCAATGCCTGCAAATGTCCAGTATATGTACTCGTAAGAGATATTTTTATCTAATATTAAATGGACGCACAGAACTTAGCAAATGCACAGCAACCTGGACAACCAAACCCAGAGAATATTCCAAATGAAGTTAGAATACAAACTGCAATGGCAAACTATGGTCAAGTGCCAACAGATGTACAAATGCAAACTGCCATGTCAAATGACGCTGCGTTAGGTTTGCCACCATGGTATGCAAATATGAGATGGAAAGAGTTTTATACAAACCCTGAAGTGGGATATAAACAACTTTATGCAGATGACGCGAACACAGGAGTTGACCCAGAATATGTTTTCTACCAGAGGAGAAACAGAATGTATGAGCTCCAGTTAAAGAATGCTATGGAACTCAACAGGAAACGTAAGAGACTAGGCGGACATTAGATTTTTACATATAGTAAAATGGGTTTCTTCAGTAGTATTGGAAACTTCTTTCGAAATGTTGGAAGAGGTATATGGAATGGCGTCAAAACCGTAGGAAGAGGAATTTGGAACGGAGTCAAAAATATTGGTAAAAGAGTAGGTCAGTTCGTTGGTATTATACCTAAAGACCCTGAACCAGAAGAACAAGCTCCTGTTATACAACAGCCTGAACCTGCACCACAGTCTAGTTGGCAACCAAATCCAACACCTCAACCGTATTAAAAAATTATATTTTTACCGTTCGATAGTAGTTGTATATGAAACTAAGTTCTAAGTAAAACGCATGGTATAATGGAATTATTCTCTTTCTTCCATCTGTTGTAAACCATACTTGAAAGTCTGAAATACTTCCACTTGGTGGTTCATATAGCTTTGTAGGTTTTTCGTAAAAGTCATTTGCCAAGCATAAAAAAGAGTTTTGGGCGCCAGAAAATGAAGCATGAACTATAATAGCATCTGAGTCGAAAACATTTTCATATGTTCCATTAGGGTTTTCGACTTCATAAAAGTCCGGGTGTACTGGATATGCTGCAGGCTGATTTAACATCCTCAAAAATCTATACCATGCCAAGTTGTTATATTTTGTAGAAATATAAACGTTTTCTCCAAGGTCTTCTATTCTATTGATTTTAACAGTTGCATTTTTCCTGTCATATATAATATCGAGATGGTACTCTCCTTCGTCAATGTTGTACTGTTTTGCATATTCGATATAGATGTCGTTTATTTTTTCTTGAAAAGCTTGAAGAGTTGTTTCTAAGTTTACAAGCAAATTCACTTGTAAAAGTTTTCCCTGTTCAAATTTCTCATACATACGTTTTTCTTTGTTATAGTATCGAACTTCAAAACCGACCGTAAATGGGAAACCATGTATGGCTTCTGAAATGAACTTCATTCTACGAAAGCCAATAGCTTTTGTGACAGATGGGTCTCTTAACCATCTTAGTGGGTAGTCAAAACGATAGCCTTCATGCTTTACGGTCTCTGTCTCAAACTTTTGACCTACATTGGTAAAAAGTTCATCTAATGGTTTAGTTGTAGCAACTCTAGAATTTTCTTTTTCTATTGAAAGCATATTTTATCTAGAATAAAAATGTCAAATGAAACAGCGTCTATGAGAGAAATACAACACAACCGACAACTCATTATACAAGCTCTAAATAAGAACACAACAAACTTTTCAAACTATTCTAAGATATCTGAGTCATTGAAAGAAGGAAACTTAAAACTGACATTAAACCCAATGACAGATGAGTTTCTATTTCAAGACAATAAGAACCATACTGTCTGTATAAATCCAACAAAAGGAACTTTAAACGAGAAACCTATAAATGAACTTCTTTTGAAAGCAGATGTTGACAACAAAGCTGACAAAGAATATGTAGACGATGCAATAGCAAAAGAAGAAGAAAGAGCTAACAAAGCTTATGCAACAAAAGAACATACTCATCCTGAACTAGCAGACAAAACATATGTTGACAATAAAATGTCAAGTGAAGTGACAAGAGCTGAAAACGAATATTCTAAAAAGACTCATATACATTCTATATCTGAAATAACAAACTTACAAGAAACCTTAAACAGGAAAGCAGATAAGGGATGGGTGGCTAGTGTGTTAGTGAAGAAGGCGGATAAGGAATATGTGGATGAAAAAGATAACGAAATTATAGAAAGGGTTGAATGGTACCATGAACGGACATCGAAGATTTTAAAAGGTAAAGCCAATACAGGATGGGTTTCAGGATGTTTAGACCTTAAAGCAGATAAAACTTATGTTAACGATGAGTTAGAGAAGAAAGCAAATAAGACTCATACACATACAAGTTTTACAACTTTTACAGCAGACGACATAATATTGAACTTTGACCTTGGTTCAAGTGCACCTTTAGAGAATCCAAGTACAAGCGTAAAAGATACACTAAACAATTTAGATAACAGTTGCAGGAACATTGAAAGTCATGCCAGAAACTTTGAAGCATATGAACTACCAGCAATGTTAGATAAGAAGGCTGACAAAACAGAGCTTCAAACATTAAAGACAGAAATACTTCAAACATTATATCCTATAGGCTCTATTTATACGTCAATGAACTCTACCAGACCAGAAACAGTACTTGGTTTTGGAACTTGGACTCAAATAGTCGACAGGTTTTTGTATTGTGCAAACTCTTCAAAGGAAACAGGTGGAAGTAAAACGATTTCAGGTGAAAACTTACCTGCACACAGTCACTACATAGATTTAAGTACATCTCAAGCAGGTTGGCATAAGCATAAATTTTGGGATTGGTCAGCAATGAAAAAAGGTAAAGGATATGATGTTAAAGACGACGTTCAGTTTGCTATAAATTGTTTCTGGGGTAACACTCAGGGAGATGGAAACCATACACATCGCGTTTCAGGATATACGCAAACAACGGGACAAAGTAAAGACTACATGCCACCTTACATGACAGTTTACGCATGGTATAGAATTGCTTAGTCGTCATTTTCAACTTCTTTAGCATATTCGTCAGGAGTTGTCTTATATTTGTTAGGAACTGTCTTTGAAAGTATACCACCTTGAACTTTGACAAGTTTGAAACGAGGTCTGACAATAGTAGTTTTATCTTCTGCTTGCAGTCTGTACATTTTGCCATGTTTGCCTAAAACTTCATAATATTCTCTGTATACTTTCTTCTATTTTTACGAACACGAAGTGAGTACCTGTCGGGTTCCCATTGTTGTCATAGTCAATAGTATTTTCATATGGGTCGCGTTTAGGTATTTCTATTTTTACTTTGTCACCTTTCTGAAGTTTGAAGCCCGCATTCTTTCTTGTTTGTCTCTTTTGACTAAATTATTAAATATATAGTCTTTCTCTAAGTCAGGGTTGTTTTTCATTATTTCGGGGGAGTGGTTTCCCAAACTTTTTGTTTACGGCTATTGTAAATATTTAAAAACTTGTCTCATCTTTGCCATGAGAAGTGTCTATAACTTGTCGTCATATGACATTTCATTTGCTTCACCACCTTGTGGTTGGTTTAAGTCTCTTAACATTTTTATACAACGTCAATGACACCAAGAGCAGAATGGTTTTGGTCGACAATGAAATATTGGTTTACATTTTTTGAACGCAGAATAGTTTTTAATATCGTCTGATTTGAAAGAACTTTCAAAGTCAGATGTCATGTTTTGTTGGATGGTATTTGTCAACGAATATTGTCAAAGCAGTTTTCACATCTAAAATATTTTTGGACTGTAATGGTATGGCTTCACAGTATCTTGTGTTTTGACCGACAAATATTAACCAGTATGGTGGTCCATCTGTTCTAACTCCTCGGAATGTTTTCCAAGATATCCATAAACCAAGCATTTGGTGTTGAACTAAAGATTTTTACCATGAGTGCTTTCTTTGTTGCCTTAGAAACATACGGGTCCTTGTTTGAATTCGTCATTTTTAACCCATAAGAAATGGGTTTATTTGGCGCATTAGCAGGAGTTGCATCCAGATTTTTGCCGCAGTGGGAACAATAGCCAGAGGTGCATTTGGAATTGGAAGGAAGATTTGAGTACATTAGGTATACTGAAAGAGAAAGCACAACCTATTATACAAACTGTACAGAAAGGTTGGGAGGTAGCACGAGATGCAACAAATCTTATTCCAAAATCCTGAAACAAGAGGAAAAGTTCAAGGATGGATGGACAATGTAGGAAGACAAGCAGGAAACTATTATAACAAAGCAAATGACTACTATAACCAAGCAGGACACTATATGGACCAAGGTGAAAGATTCTTTAACAGAGGATATAACCATGCACAACAGTGGGTAAACAATAACCAACCTCAACCGCCTCAAACGTGGGGAATGTAAAGTTTTTTACTGAGATGAAATGAACAATACAGCATTGAGACAAATGGGTTCAAGATGGATTTGTCGGCTTCCAGCAGTTACACAACGTGTTTGTCAAGTTCTTCCTATACCTCAGGAAGTTTTAGACCGACTTAAAAAACCTAAACAACCAGTTGAAAACAAACCAAACTAAAATTTTTTACTGAGATGAAATGACCGAAGAAGTTGAAACGTAGATTTGACACCACAAACAAAAAGTTCAGAACCATTGTCAAAACCCGTCAAAGAACTTACAGATGAAGAGAAAAATTCAATAATAGAAAGTGCCAGGTCTGGAAATACAAACCCTAACTACAAAGTCACTTTTCATAAAAATGGAACGGCTAGTATCTCAAAAAAGAAACAGACTCTCACAAATAAAATATTGAAGTCTGAAGGAGCTTTCGAGACAACAGATGGAAAAGTTTACTTCACTGACCAACAGTTCATTATAGAACATCTCATTGACTTAGAGTCGAAATATTCTAAACTTTACAACAAACACAAAAGTTGAAAGGAAAACAAAAACAAATGGCATATGATATTTATGAAGATGTTGACGACACAACTGTTCCTGCAGGTGAAGTAAAGTCAAAGGAACCGGAAAGTGACGAAAAACAGATAGAAGAAGAGAAACCAAAAACTGAAGATAAACCAAAACCAAAGTTTAGTTTCCAAACTAAACCAAGTCAACCTTCATTAGCTGGTATGGGTTGGCGTCAAAGACTTATGGCAGCAGGCAGCTATGTAAAGTAAAGAGAAAAAAATATTTTTTTATTTTTATAAAAATGCCCCCATATAGAATGGACAGAAAGTCTGCTAGAATAAAAGCAGAGTTGCAAAGATATGGTTGGAGAGTTTCGAAGAATTTTAAATATAGGAAGGGAAGACCCATAAAAGTCTATGACAAATTGTCTGGTCTTCGCTACGAAATGGATTTGGAAACAGCACGTGCAAATTATCCAAACAGACTAGAGAGGTTAGAAGAAGAACGTCTTATGGACATGCCTTTCGATGTTAGTGAACCTCAAGTTGAGGGACACGACGGCTTTGCCAGATTCTACTGGAAACATGACGAACAATTGCATCCTTTGAGAAGGAAAAAAGGAAAAGGTGAAGACGCACATGTTCCCATGGAAAGAACAAGATATGCATATGAGAAGTACCGTGAAGTTAGAAGTCAAATTACATCTGGTCGAACCTTTACAGTAAACTTTGACGAAGGAAAGAACAAAGAAGGCTTCATGGGTGTACTTGCTGCCATACAAGACGGAAATAAGAAAGGATACAATCTCAGATTGACCATAACAGATTTGGATGGTCACATTTACTATGCACATGGCAATGTCACAACAGCCGCACAACTTCTTGACGCTTTCAAGACTACAAAGAGAGAACAAATGTTTGACTCCGACTCAGACATTTTGAATGCAATTGAAGGAATTGCAAGTGTCAAGTTCGAATGGTACCAACCTAACCCTCAAGCAGTCAGACAACATGCTGGATACTTCCCCTTCATAAATAAGTCTGACATTGACTTGACAAGGTATGGAATTTACAATTCAATTGAAACAATTGTCAACGAACCTTGTATTCTCACATGTCTCAGGAACTCTGGTCTTGTTACAGATGAGAAAATGAAGTATCTTGAGTCATGTGTGAAGACAAGGTACATTCTCAGAGGTCAATTGGCAAAGATTGCACCGTTGGCAAATGTCAATATCCGAGTCAACATACCTACAGCTAAAGGTTCTTCACATGACGACTATGTTGTTGACAAAGACTTACCATGGTTGAAGATTGTAATTGTCCACAACCACTTCATGTTGAACGAAAGTCTTACACACCCATTGTTCGGAAAAGGCAAGTGCAACATTGTCAGAGCTGTAAACATTCTTTTCGAGAAAGGTTTGTTGGAACCAATTCCAGATGACAAGCTGACAGAAACTTTTGTACCAAAAGACGAAACAAACTTTTCACTGTTAGCAAGACCAAAAGTTGTTCCAGACAAAGTTCTAGTACAAAAGAAGTACACAATTCCACAAGGAGTTGGATTGTTCGGATACCAACCTGAACCAGAAGAACTTCCAATGAGGTTGCAAGAACTTCAAGATGCTATAAACAAACTTCCATTGAGACATCCAATTGACGTCAAATTGTATTGGAGGGCATCTGAGTTAGGTCAGAAGGTTTTATATGAAACAGGTTGCTTCGACGATGTTTATGAGATAACAGGAGAAGTTTCTCAGAAGATAAGAGACTCACTTGAATTTCCACAAACTGGACCAATTGGTTGCGGCAAGTTCGACTCAAACGAAAAGATATACTATGTCGACCTTAACGCTGCGTACATGAGGTTTGTCCAATATATTCCGACTGGAATTCCAAACGAAGATGGTGAGTTCCCGGGAAGGAACTATACAGTTGGACAAGTCATACAACAACTGTATGATATTAGGAAAGCTTCAAACCCCAAACTTGCAATGACACTCAAATTGCTTATGAATTCGACATGGGGATATTCCATTAAGAAACCTCAAAAGATGAAGAGTAAACATTATGAGAAGGTCGACAACTTTGTTGAAAGGTTTTCTCCTTTTGTTTTGAAGTACGAATTCACTCAAGGTCAAAATGGCTTAGTAACCACATTAAAATCTATTGTCGAACATTGGTCTTACCCTCAGTTCGCAAAGGCAGTCCTTGACAACTACAACAAATTCTTCTCCGAAGTCAAATCCAAAGTTGTGGTTTACTATGAGAACATTGACGCACTCATGACGAACGAAGAAGGATACAACAAACTCATTGAAATGGGAATGGTCGGTGAAAAGATGGGTTGTTTTAAGCTAGATAAGGTATTTTCAGAAGTTCATGTCCTCTCCAAGCGTAAGTACTGGGGCATACTTGAAGACGGCACAGAAATAAAACATTGCATGAAATAAAAAATTGCATGAAGTAAAAACGTTTTTTAAAACAATATATTTTTACATATATTAAATGCTTCAGGTTGAAAAACAAAGAACAAAAGTAGCAGATACAAAACCGTTAGACTATATCTTTACAAATGCTGGTAGGACTATTTCAGATGAAGAAATTTCATCCCGAGCATACAGTTTTGACTATCCAGTTCGTTGGCTTCAAAGTCCTTCAGATGCAAAGGCAATAGGATTTAGAAGAGTTTTGTTTTCAAATAGAACTAACGCGTTTATGTTCGCAGTATATTTTCATGGGCAGTATAAAGGTTCTGATGGTCTTATAGACACATTTGACGAAATGAGAATATTTACAGTTCGTTCAGACGAAAGTCTTGAGAAAACTCTAAATGACTTTCAAACTCAAATGAACAAATACTATTGGGAATTTCAAGAAAAATACGACTCTTTACTAAATGGAACATACTATCTGAAACTAGAATATGACAAGATGAACTCCACCGTTTCATTTCAAAAGATTGAAATTAACCCTCCAAGAGATACGGAGTTTTTATTTTGGGGAGTAGACAAACGTTCTTGGGCACAATTTCTTCGGTTACTAAACCAGAACGAACCATTACCACCAGATGGTCCATTTAAATTTATACTTC